TGGTCAACACTTCCGGTTTACCAGGACCGGCGGTTTGCAAGCGATGTTGGATGCGAGAAAACAATCTGGTTTGATCGGCCAACATTGCATGCATGCCTTTTAACAGTTCCGAGCGTGATTTCCAATTAGCCAGCTGCACTTCCGTGCTCACGTGTTTTGCTGTCAAAGATTCCGTCTGTGGGTTGGGCAGCAAGAGAAAGCGGACAACAAGAGCACTGTCAGACTCGATCGAACGTACAGTGGCAGCTGTGAGAAAAAGACAAATCATAACTGCGAAACATGTCTGGGAAATAGATTAATGGAAGTATGTGTTGACCGACGATGTCTCAGATAAAGCTATACTTTTCCTGTTTTCGTTATTGAGGTTATGAACTATCGATATGCACGTTTACCATGTCATATCTATAGGGTATCAGCGAGAATAAAAACACACTTGCACTCCTAAAATTTACAGATAAAGCGTGCACTTACCCTAATTGTATTCTTTCGATCAATAAAATATTACTTTTAAATCGACATCTTTGATTTGAAATAAGTGAATTATTCGAAACGAAAACTAAGGGAGAACGAAAAACATTTTTTTAATGTGTAGTTTATTCAACGTTAACTTTATAAAACAGTATTGTCGTCTCCAGTTTCATTCAGTTTTTCGTAAGTGCTTGTTTTTGAATAGCCTTTGTCCTCAATCATTTCATACAACTAAACTCATTGACAGCAATATGTTCAAGTATTTATTCCTCTCATCGGAACCTCATAGTAATGCATTGTCGTTGTTGCATCTAGTTCCTGAACTTCGGGCCCCTCTTACTCAAAGCGCGTTTGTGACAATTTCAACTAGGTCAGTTAGCTGAAATCCTCAATCCAAGTCTTCGCTTCAACGGGAGATTTTCTATAGGAGTAATTGTGATTATTTGGGTTTTCTTTCGTTGCGCTAGTTTTGAAGTTAACTGATGATGCATTTTTTTAATCCCACCTGCATAAACTTGAATAGGCATGTTTGGTTGATCTCAAAGTGGTCTAGTAGATATAACAGTCACACTTACACCTTACATACACGGTTATCTGGGGGGGTTCAAACTCTGAGGGGTTGGTGAATATGCTTCTCAAGTGATCTCTAACACGATCCAAATTCGAGTCCGCTGTCTCCCACGTCTGTAGCCAACTGCATTAACTCAGGATTGTCTTTTTAAATGGCATTAGTGGGATGGCCAGACAAAATCAGTAACTGTAGATTATAAAATGAAGTCAACAACATGAATCGATGATGAGTGTTGGGTAGGTATCCAGGGGACAACGACTGTTAGGTTGTGCGAGTCCTATGCTCCTGCTTAATTTCCGAAGGGCTTTGTTTGACCGCTGACATGACGTGTGTGCAATGTATACCAATCACTGTCATTTTGATACTTCTTCTTTGGAACGGTTCACTTGTGAATCACCAGAAATTTTCCTTTTTCAATCATCTACCCTGGTAAACTGCTTAATGAATACAACATGACTTCACCTTTGATCATAGAGCAATTGATTCGATAGGTTTGAGAGGTTTTAATCATCCCAGTGCAGAATAAAATCCTAACACAAGTAATGCCCATCTATATCTTGTAGGTCTGTGTAATATGCATCCGGTATTTTTCAACTAATTGCATCTTCGGCTTATCTGGAGACCAGATCACTATTGATAAACATAATATTACTGGGATTCAGTTGAATGGCCTTCACTATGTTCGTAAAATTCCTATGTTCTACGAGTGCATGGCCTCCCCCCGAGTGAATCAAAGCTGGTTTTGTTACGTGAATTCGCATTTGAGACACATTTAACTCACGTGTTCCAGCTTGGCTGCCGCTTCCATCGGATTCCTCTCATGATCGACCATATTGCGAATCAGATTTAGATTGACCAAACGACGCAGCCATCCCGGAACCGGGAGGAGTTTCTCACCGCGGGAGTCCAAATTAATCACAATTACACAAATCACCACAGACAAGGCTGTCAAAGTCATCACGCTGGTCATATAGATTCCTGTGTGAGAAAATGAAATTTTGCCATGAGAAAACCATATCAGCTGATCTCATTCTGTTTTGATGTTTTAGTCTTTCGGTCGGAAAAATGTATGGACACTACTGTTGTATCCTTTTCACATCAAATGAATGCCGTACGGAACGCTGGTGAGATGAACTACAATGCATTACGCAACGCCGATGCGGGTTTGAAGTTTCTGGCCGGAAATCGAATTGTCAAGCGCTTAAATTGAACCATCTGGATTTGTGTAGTCTGCGCATTGGTTGGAAAGGTGTGAACTCTGATCAAGTACTGTGTAACATGTTCTTTTTGAAAACGACAAGATTTGACATGGAAACAATTACATTCTACAAAACACCATCGAGATTCCAGTTGTTTGAACAGGTCGGAACTCAGTTTTAGATGCACCAACATACTCAAACACAACCTCACTCCGTTTCATGCATGTGCTTTTACCAACCGTCGGCTTGCTAAAACCAAAGGACGAGATGTTCCATGGACAACTACTTATTTGTGCAGAAACTAATGACTACTGTTCAGGTATGTGCGACCTGAAAGAAAATTGACAAGAGCAGAGAGGTTGGCCAGCATATGGCAGTCACAATTACTTTTGCTGATGAACAAACTGGCTGCTTCGCCCAGGATACCGGATTGACTTGTGAGATGTAAACTTTCCGCGTTCAATGGAATTTTTGACCGAACATGACGGGATGGTATATCAACTCCGAAATCCACTGCAGCCTAGGTTTCACTAGACCAAATCTAACATCCTTCACGTAAGTTCAGTATAGGAAAGCTATTCAGATCATCTTAGTCTGTTGGCTCGTCATCTCTTTGAGGTTTTTCGAAGTCACTGCTAACAAGTGGTAATAAAGAAGCAGCTGAAACGTGTTTAACGTCATATTACATGCCGACAAATTCAATAGGAGTACCATTATCACTAGGTGCTGAGAGTGACCTCATTATAATGTCTGGGAGACGCAGTTTAAGAGAATCACTTTTGGTAATTAACGAAATGTTGCGCACTATTGAGTTGTGGCCTACCGAGAAATGCTTGTCCAATACGAACTACCATTTTTGTCCAATTGTCGTGGAAGTGAAGCTGCGGCGAGAGAAAGACAGTGTGAACAATGACTAAACTATTGTGTCACAATGCACTCAGTGTTTTCAAGAATAATTTTGGTAATTTTGTGGAACATTTCTCCAGATGTCCTGTTCTTTCTTTTTCATTTTTATTTCTTTTTGTTAAATGTATCATGATACAATTTTCAGGAAGATTGAAGCGTTTAATTAAAGAGTTTCGACACAACAAAAGATAGGGAAAGACGGACGGCGGCGATGTTATTCGAACATACATCCTCTGTGGCGATAACCTGGTGACGTTTCAACCTGGCCATCACAGCCCATCCATTAGAATACACGCTCTTCATGATTGTACACAACTAATCGAAATTCAGCTCCCGTTTGATTTAACACTTTTATGCCTGGCTCAAATAGTCTTCATGGTGAAGGACATCGATGATTAACTTTATTATTTGAATGGGGTTAGAGTGTTCTCAAATGATGTCTTTATCGGAACCACTGCGTTGGTATTGTTTTACCGACGATACCTTTTATTTCCCTCGATAATGGAACAAACATATTCGGGGAACCACCAATTTCCATTAACTTCTTAGTTCGGACTTTTCTTCCATCCAGTTGCCCGATCACGAAACTATTAGGAGAATATGCATGGTTTTTATCGATTGTCCTTAGACGCCATGTATTCTGAATGGACACTTCTTCATGAGAAATAGACAGAAGTTATCTTTTCTTTATCCGCTCCATAGTAGCTAATTCATTTAATGTTTTGGCTACATTTTCCTATCAAAAATTGGTTTAGATTAATGTGTTGGTAGAAGCATAAAACCGCATAAGTGTTTGAACATAGTTTAGCTGTGACGCCTCAAAAATCTCACTGGATAGTTTGAAAACTAGAGAAACGAATTTGGCAAAAGATTCTTGTTTGTCTTCTTGGTTGGCTAACTACAGTACGGTAATATTAGTAGCATTAGACGTGCATTCACTGTGAAGATATTTACATAAACGTTGGATTCACTGTTGAAAACGATATTGTTGCGAGGTTGTGTTCTATAGACCAATGGTGAAGAAATAAAATAATCCAAAAACGTATTCCTGATGAACGACGGGTGTTTATTTTTCGTAACTCATTATTTATTCCGTCCTAAGTGGGCTATTATATTAAATTAACGGAAAACGACACAGAGCAATCTCTGCTAGTTGTTAATAATCATTGGTAAGTATGCGACTTTTATCATCTCAGTTTAATGGTAAATGTTTATTTTTTCATTGAATTAGAAACCCAAATACATTCACAGGTGATTTCAATATCCTCCTTATGGATAGAATTATACTGACCATCCTAAGAAACAGTTGGTAACTAATCCGCCAATCACTCCATACAACTCCTAAGGGACAGTTTCCAAAATATTGAGCCGGCGCATTCCGTTCCCAATAAATTGCGCATGCTTTTCGGCAAATTCATCGATCACTAAATCAGTTCCCTTTTTGCAGAGTTGGGCTGATTGTCCATCGATCAGACCACATTTCTTTGTACGGAAGTTCGCCTGTTCCTGTGGAATGAGCTACCTATGTTGAACTATAAGGACTCTTTAAGACCGCATGGATGATATCAACCCAGTAGCTATTGCACCTTGATCTCAGTGGAATCACTCAGCGAATTTGCACGAGCTTTCTGTTCTCTCTAAACTGGTAGATGAAAGTCAGTGGAGGAGGTCGTGTTTCAAATTCTGTTGTCGACCGATACAAGTGCAACCCTCAGTTAGATTGAGGTTAAAAGACCAAGCATTTTTACTTGATAATATTATCGTCCTGAGCTTTTTCATCAGTGTTAAGGTAGACTATAATTGGATTAAAATCAGTCACTTTTTATAATTCTTTTCTTCCTGGAATTCTTCGCAGCAATCCATGCTATTCAGCAGTATATAATGGGCAAAATATTACATTAGACTTAATATGCTTAAAAGTTTTCGCAAAGGTATGCATGAGGGGCGTAGATGGTTCTGTCGTCGTCCGTGTCAGTAACATCACCTAGCCATTGGGTCCTTATGTGGCTCACCACTCCATGTTCCAGGGCTTGGTTGCCGGTACCTCTTATCTCATCGCTCAAGTGCATTCTCATTTGATAATCGCACTCACTGACGTTCGCGGCTTGAACCACAGCATCGATTGTGTACATCAATTTCTTCAATCAGCCTATCCTCTTACGCTATTTTTATCCGAAATACAATTTTCTTCTCTAAACACTACCCATATTCAGTTCCCCGATTATTCTTCTCATACTTCATTGGTCCTAAAAGTTGGTGTTTGTTTTTATCCATCATTTAGTTGTTTCAACCCTGTTCTCCCACTTAAATAACAGTGAGTTTCAGACTGGAACTTCTGTTTCGATCTTGGAAGCGCTACTTCTACACTGCATACTGTCCCCCATATAGTACTGGCTCATTCTTTGATATCTTATGAACAAACATTGAGAACATTATGGAAGCAGACCCCAACGGTCAGTTCACAATTTTTGGTGATTTTAACGACAACAATAGGAAATGGCTGTTACACCTATCAGGAAAATCTTCCCTTGGACGTGAAGCAGAATCATTTGGCGTAATAAACAACCTACATCAGCTGGTCGATTTCCTGACCAGTTATCCCGACCACACTTATCCCCCCCCCCCCNCCCCGAGTTTTTCCTCACATACAACCCACAATTATTTTCGCATACTACTGCAGTTTATCCCCCGGGCTCATTGAACCATTTTCTTATTTCGCTGTCCACGCAAATCATCCTTTCCATTGTTTCTCTCAATTCTAGGTGCACATTCTGGTGATCAGGTTCCGCAAATTGGTGCAGCTTTCTCAACGTTCTGGCTTCCCACCTCCAGAATAACTGTTACTTCTGCGCCGATGTCTCCTTCTAGGCTTCGGAATTTTCCAAAATTCTTTTGTAAGGCATTTACCTAGTCATTCCTCATTTGGTTAAACCCGGGATACCTTTATCTCCAGAATGATTTAACCATGCCTGTTGTCGCGCTGCTCATGAAAAGAAATCAGTGCCCCGCCGATGGTACTTGCAAGCAAGCAACTGCTGCACACCCTTTATAGAGAAAGCTGAGGAGCGCTTCGCAGCATAGTTATCAACCGCTCCCAGTGGAAGCCGGATATTCTGGTCAATTAAGAAGGCTGTCTCCCGTACCAGCTGTTCCACTAGCTTCCCATTCATTGTTAAACCAGTTGGCGACTTAGTGTCCGACCCGCTCGAATGAACCGAAATGTTGCCTACCATTTTGCTGCAATTTCTCTCTTAATCGAATTATCTATCCAACCCTCAACATACCCTACAGCAAACCCCCTTTTCACATCGTTCGCTTTCACCAGATCAAATCCTCTTATCGCTGAACCAACACTAGCCTCTGAACAAGACGGGATTTCTCCCATCGTCCTCAAAACGTCCACGCCAGAATTGACCCCTCTCGTACGCGCTTATTTTCTCTATCACTCAATTTTGAGGTATTTCAAAGGCCATAGAAAATATCAGAAATAGTTCCCAACCCCAACAGTGACGATCACTCAGACACAAATAACTATCGCCCCAGCTTTCTCACATCAGTTATTTCGAAGGTTATGGAATCGGTCTTTGCTGATCAACTTAGCAGCCACCTGGAGCAGTTAACGATGTTTAACGACTGTCGGTACACTTTCCAGTCCCATCGACCTTCTGGAGCTCATTTCGCATACGTGATCAGTGGCTTTCAACAACCACGGATAAACCCATACGGTGTCATTGAATATATCAAAAGCTTTCAATCGTGTCTGGCATGCGGGTCTGCTGGTTTATCTTTCCCTCGGGGCTTTTCTCCTGGATAGAAGGCTATCTTAAGAACCGCAACCTCGCCGTTCGAGTAGATGGAATCACGTCACTTTCCTTGCCTGTGAGTCCCAGTGTCCCCCAATTTTCTGTAATTTTCAGCTATCCTGTTTCTGATGTTCCTTGATTACCTTCTTTCATCACTTTCAAATTCGACTCATGCCTTTGCGATGACACTACCCTACAGTTTTCTTTGTCCTGTTCTTCTTCATGCGTTGCTAACTTCAGCATTGGCGATGACCACTCCTCACCCAGTTTCTGGCTAAATTCTGATTTGGGCTTTATTTTTGCTTGCGGCTGTAGCAACCGTGTTCTAATTAATGCCAGTAAGAAGTTTCTTATGACTATTTCTCTTGATCACGGCTCATTCTCCTCTTCACCATATTCAACTCAGCAGTCTTCGTTTTACAGATTTATGCAACCTTTTGGGACATTTTATGTCTTGCTCTCTCTAAATGGTCACTATTGGTTTATCTACTTGCCTCTCGCACTGATCGTAAAATCGGCTTCCTCGTCCGCACCAGGCGTTTCTTCACCACCGTTCAACTCCTCTCGCTTTAAAAATCTCAGATTTCCCCTGAACTTGAACACTGCAGTCATGTGTGGGATGGAGCTTCATCCACCCCTCTCTTCTTGATAGTGTTAAACGTAAGGCCATTCGTCCCATCAACGACCCGTCCCTGACATGTACCTTACAGTCACTAACTCATGCTCTTCCTTATCCTTATTCTGTCGATAGTATTTTGGATTTTCCTCCATCCCTCTTCCAATTGTTCTTACTCGTAGATCCCGCATACAAACGGCCAGCCACACATTTCAATTGAATGTCCCCGGTGTCGCATTTCTAACTTTCAGTGATCTTGTTTCCAAGGGCAGCACAACTTTGGAATATTGTCCATTGCGGTCTTCTCTGGAACCTACAACGTCGTTGCTTTTAAACGCAGAATCAACAAGATGGTTTTAGCTTGAATGTCATCTTCATCATCCCATGGACAACATATGCTTTGTTTATGGGGTTTACCCATTTCACTATATTCAGCTTATGTAATAAAAAAATATCCAAGTTATTGGGTCCAACTTCTCTGACTTTGCTTTTATATACATGCTTTACCATGGCATTGTTTCAGAAAGCGTAGTGGTTGCTTTATCCACCGGTTTGTTCGGTAGGCCGTATAGATGATTGCCAATATCTGTGGCCGGCGCCTTTTTCAAGCTGTAAAGCATTGGTGACAGAGCAGAAGTGAATAACTCCATCAAGGAAAGCCTTCACTTTTTTATTTACATATGGGGATTGAGTGTGGTAAAGATCAATAAGGAGAATTCTTTTATTTCAACGTCGCATAATTAACAAGTGTATTTATAGTTCTGTTTCGTTTCCTTCCAATACCGTTATAATAATTTTTTTAAAGCAGCATTGTTTTGCGTCATCGTCAAAATATGCTCTCTGTAATGGTCTTGAGATGCCCCGCTGGTTTTTTCATGGTCACACCTTTAACAGGTGTACATTCGTTTGTTATTTGTGCTTTTAGCACCACTAATGAACCTCAGATTGAGACTCGCAGCACGGTTGGTTTGGAAGGTCCAAGATAAGCGAGCGCCTATCTATAATTTTGAACAATTGTATAAAATACACAAGAGAAGGTTCTTATCTGGCCAACTGTGGTCACATGCCGCGGTTTATTCATTCATTTTTGTTTAAAGCTAAAGTGTTCAGCCATCGAAGTCGGAGAGATCCTGGTGATAAAACAGTGAAATCCTGCCAAAACCCACTCGTTGCGACAATGTTCGTCCAAACAGGTCATGTGGCTACCCCCCAAACATCTGACCATTGTTTGCCTTTTAGATGTGCACACGTGCATATATATATGATCCTCTTGTAGTCGTCTTCCCATTCGCAATCTATAGATGCGCCCATTAGCACAGAGCGAGGTCATTCGTAGATTCCGCTTAGTTTGTGATCTCACGGAATATGCGTGTGTGTGCGCGTGAAGTTTCTTTTAGGTTATCCAGTATATTACCTCTTTTTGATTACGCACGTCAAAAACCAACAAGCATTTACGCCATTCTCTTCTTAGGTTTACACTAAAAAAACGGAAAGCATGTGCTACTGAGAAGTGAGAAGTTCTTTTATGCGTGACACGTTTTTTCATAATAACTAACCGAAATAAAATGCCGAATCCTACCACGAGGCTTATTGATAAGTCAAAGTTTTTTCGCTCCATCCATGGAAGAGAAGCTTCTTGGACCAATAAGGGGGTGTACTTATGCAAGAAATTAGTGAAGACCAAATAAAAGATGTAAGTTATTTATCAAGCCAAGTGAAAATATGCTTTCTTCAACTAATAGTCATGCACGGTCGGTATCGACGAGATATACTAGGCACAGCTGTACATAACACAAGTGGGAAGTGACAAAGCAGTCGTTCATGATACATCGAAAACAATTCTAATGCGATACAAGACGATATTAAGTCTCTATTGACAGATGTCTAAATTTAAAAAAAACATGGTAAACGGTAGAACGTGCACGAAGAAACAAATTTGTGGTAGGCAAGAGAATGAGATCACCATTTATTAAAACGGACAGTGGTCTTCATTAGACAATATGTGGTTGATAGATCGATCACATTCTTACACACAATAAAACCAACGTAGACAGTCTTGGGATTACCACTACAAAGGGGAAAGAAGTTCAATGAATTTGAAAATGAGGATGAATTCCTTCTCTTTTAGACTGAAAGCGAGGTGGGTGAATACTGGGGAGCAATATATTCAGTGTGGAAGAATGCGGGCTATCGCGAATTCAAGGATAATATCTGGAGGAACTGCAACCTATTCAGGTCCGAAATCGTACCACAAAAGACTAAGAACCGAAGTTTAAAGATTTTTAACACGTTTGGATCGAGAAAGGTTATTTGATAACCAAATTCCAAAGAACTTCACATATTCGGTCATTAAAATGATGTCCCTATTAACAACAAATTCTACCTGATTCCTAAAAGAGTTTGATAACTGGAACCTGTTCTTGGGCCAAAACGAATAGAACATATTTATCCATATTAGGTCTCGTAAATGGAGATCCAGACTAACCAAAAATTTATCCAGACAGTCTTGGAGTAGACGGAAGCTGTCAAGACTAATAAAGAGATAATTAATTACCACATAACCAGCATACTTGCACGCAACAAAGTTGAGAGAATTGAGGTTATCTGTAGGCTAATAGAAGAAGTATTGTGGAGAAATTTCCGGAATGAACTACTTTGAAGGCAGTAGGCTTAAATTAGTCTTTTGTGTGAAATATTGAATCAGAACACCCAA